AAGGTTGGGTTCTACCAGAACGCCAACACCGGCCTGAGCGCGAGTCGTGATATCGACGCCTGAGTAGAATGGCTTGTACTTGCAGAGGTTCAGAATTATCGAGCCTTGGCGTTTTGCCTCTCGAACTATGCCGAGGTGGTACCTTACGGCCTCATCAACTAACTCTTGCTCTTTCGGTCTGAGTCAGGATATATTCGAATTTCCGACTGGAAGGTCCCACTGGCGACGTCGTTCCCAGCCAGAGTGCCATCGGACTTGCCATGATGGCACTGACCTGTTTGCCTCCTTCGTTCAGAACGGGTAGCGACTCCGTTGTTGACTGGTATCATCGTCGTGGTTCCGTCGGTCTTCGTCAGCCGTTGTTGTGATACTACGCCCCCGGCTGGCACAGGGCGATGAGCAGGTTCTGATCGCCGACTTTTCACAGTCTGACAAACAGCCTGCGCGGCCATTAGTAACCAACAGGACGACCGTGCCGGTATAATTTTTGATGACGTTAATACTATGACTTGCAGGTGGTCAAATTTTTCGGACATTTGGCGACGGTCTGCAGTCAGGCTCCTTTCTCAACCGGGCTTGGGACTGGCAACGGCGGAGTTGTGTAACTCACTAAAGTTTAAAAACATTACAGATCTATGCAAAAAGGAACATTAATCACCATCCTGAAAGCCGCCGTCTTCTCAAACCTGATGTGCAGACTTAAAACATCAATCGCTTTTAGCCCAATGAAAAAATGTTAGACATTGTTCAGCAGCCGTGCCTGCGGAACCCTGAAAGTGCGATTGTTCCATCCAATGGAAAGATCTTGGACACGACCGGTCTGAGAATATTCCCTGAAGCAATCAGGGACCGACGTCTGCGTGGTTGTTTGACATAATCATCCGGAGAGAGGGTGGAGACTCATGCAAAATCGTTTTTTTCTGGGAAGCAAAGGACGGCCGCAGGCACGTCAGAAGTCAATATCGCACCGTTAGGAAGTTGCTAGAGGTGTAGTTGCTTTCGACGAGAAACTTGGCGTTTGTCTCAGCAACCAACATCGCTCAAATTATTCTCAGAAGCCAAAACGTCAGACATCATTAAACTGGATAGTAGGTCCTTGACTGTGGTGCCCCAGGTGACGACAACAACAATAACAAGAACAGTAATTTATATATCACTTGTTTGCTTTCTTGCTTGCTGCTAACCTACCAAACAACCTCCTTATCTACGGAGCAAGTTATATGCCTATGAATCAACCTACGAGTCTAGATGTGAACCTTTCTACTTGGTGGCCTGTCTCCCTCCGTGTCACATGTAACTTTATTTGTCTCGAGTTATATTTGATGTAAATCGCGACAATTTATTTGCTATTTGCGTTACTTACTGATTTCTCTTGTACATTAAATTTATGGTACGGTCCGTTGTACGCTGTAATTTTCTTGAGTAATTTAGCTAAAAATTTATTTCTATCATGGTTCATTGTCGCGGATACGCCGCCATTGCTAAACGTCGGTTTTTAGGTAAACAGTATGGATGTTATGGATCAGACATAATGTTAATGTTCTTCGTGTAGACAATCTTGTAAACTGTCTTCATGAGGAAATAAAAAATGCCTTGATTACCTCGCTGTTTCCTGCCTAAGTGAATTCAGGAAGGCGCCTGGATGGAAAAGTTCGGAAAGGTTCACCGTTTCGTTTAGCAGCAAATGTGCACCCGATTTCATAGACAGCTGATTGACAGCTTTCGCTCGTTGCATCACGGCATACATGTAAGCCGTCAAGTTTTCTGGTCCTTGCCATTCTTTGTGCCAGGCCGAAGGAGTCTAAAACGCGCTTTGCGTTTAATAATCGTATAAATATATATTGCGGGGGTGGGGACAGAAAGGAACCTCCAAATAGACTAATACGACAGTGTTTACCTTTTGACGAAAGAGGGAAACAGCCAGATCCATTGACGCACGTTCGAATTTAGCGCTTCCTCGTAAAACTTTGTTAATCACTGACAAATCGCTATGTATCAGTTGCACTAGCTTCACGGCATAGTTGCGTTCTGTTCGAACAAAATTCGCTACGGCCGAGCTATCAGGCTGATTGACCAGTTGCTGTAGCTTTGCGTGGTGCAAGGTTGAAGACTACAACGAAACATATTGTCGGTCAACTTTAAAAAGTTCCTAAATTTATTTACTTGATTCAACTTCTTCCAAACTGTCAACACCGGCATCAGAACATTTGTCCATTCGGTAATATCAAAATCGGATGGACAGTAGTCGAAGGGCGAAACGTCCTGCAACTTCTCGATAATCTTCAGGCCTTCCGTCTGCTCCCACGATCGTTTCATATTCGCCGGTAGGCCCAACAGTTTCGGCAAGTTATCGTCGTTGACGACCTTCACCGCATCGACGTAGTCCTAACATGAAGCATGTGAATATGCAATGTTCTAGCTCAGAGATTTCATTCGCAGGATAATGGCTGTGAGTAACGATTTTTTTGATCTACATTTAAGTGTACGAGATGAACCGTGAGAGATATGCTTGTCATCTGTCCGCTGTACAGATACTAGTATGTTGGCCTAGTGCAATCTTAGACGTTTAGGTTGTATTGTACCAACCGAAGCGTCCTTCTGAGTGTTGTATCTCTGAGTAAGGTATGTGAGGGGTCACGCGTACTTTCATATCGACACTTTGCAACCATTTATCTGACAGAGTGACTATGGTGATAATCTTTCTTGGATGTATAACCTCTGCTGATTATCACAGTAGCTATTAAGTTGGCAAAGGTAAACTGCAGAACTGAGAGGTGCTCACTTCAGACAGTATGTATACATTTATAGTCCAGTTTGATATTATATGATATACCGAAGTTTAAAGACTAATACTTGCTAGCAAATGCACTGAAACTCGTGACCGAACGATGCGCGCTGACTTAATGGGTATACGAAGACAAAAAAGTGGAATCATAAAATAAAACGAAAATCTTAGAAATTTAGTAGTTTGATAGAAGTTTCGCACTGTGCTGAGAACATTTCAAAAATATGTCTGAAATTCGATCCCTATAGCTGGAACAGTTACTTTTTATGGCTCGAAAGAAGGGAAGCAGGGCCAAAGATCTTAAAAATTCTGGATGCCGTTTTAAATGACAGTCCATCGTACAATATCTCGACCATGGAGCTTCTGCAGCAGTATTCTTCTTTCCGTCTGTAAGGTGGCGGATGGTCCGTTTTTGCTGCCGTATTGGGCACGTCTTCGTACTGCATTCGAGTCGAAGGTTGTTTGCTTTCAAGCTGTAGCTAACAGCTTCACAGTTTTATGACATGAATCGGAATAAACATTACGCTGAATAAAACCGAGGTCATTTAGTCTAGAGAAAAAACACTTACCGATTCAGCTGTGTAAATGGACCACGCAAAGAAATTTGACAACCTCGAAGCAGCGTTCACGAGTGGCTGCAGGCATTAGGTGCGAATGGACAGGCGAATGAGTTAAACTATCAGTTATGATCTAGCTGAATGACTTTGCGTGATGGTGGCAGAACTTAGCAGTGTTGGTCGGCATTATCTTTAATCAGATACCTTTATACATATACCGCTACCTTTGATTACGGACGCAAGACAATGACTAAAAGAGGGGACATGCGACAGGGGTTCAAACGACGTTCCTTCGAAGAATCGCTGGAATGAAATTTAGAATACGGCATTGCGGAATATTCTGCGTGGACGGTCTATGACATTTCGTAGCCGACCGGTCGTCGGTGTCAGCGCCCAGTCTTGTGACCATAGGATTCGATCTAATAGCAGATGATAGTTTCTATGAGCTATTTGATTTAACCCTTTATGTAAATTGAACATTCTTCTTGTAGGCGGTGCATCAATTCAACAATCTTCATGCTTCTTACGGGATTGCTCCGCATATACACTTTTTACACAAATCACCTATTTAACCGAAAGCAAATTAAACTCGTTGAAGAACTACAGACAAAATGATTCGATAATGGTAATAAAAGCACAAAAGGGTAACGCGATTGTTCTGATGAACCGAAATGTGTCATGAAAAGTGTTACTTTATACATAAGTCCAGATACTCATCTTTAGCTGAAGATCTAACGCAACAGCTAACTTAATTCTTGACAAAATTTATTTAACGCCAGGAAAACAACAAACAAGTTGAAACTGAAAGGTCCAAATGGACGTAGGCCAAGTTAGGGTTCAAGAGCAGCTTCTGCGTTCCATAGTTCTTCTGCCTATCTAAGACCCATAAACTTCGAATGCACTTTTTCGTCTCTTTTACCCGTATTATTTCACCCTTTATATCCACATCGATTCAGCCAGTTTTTGAGAGTTAAACTGGATAGTTAAACTCGCATCTACAAAACGCTGGGGATTTCGTTCGACAGTTGCATAACTGTTGCATCCAAAACATACTACCTTGGTAAGTTACGGTGCATTAAGCCTGTTTGCCAGCATACCTCTTAAAGTAGTAGCCTTTAACGAACGTCTGTCAATTAGAATACTCCAATTTTTAGCATTGGAACAGGTCTAATATCGTCCCAGAAACTTAATGATATTTCGAGTTCAGCAAAAAATTGAAGTACGGAAAATAAAAATAAATAAGTGAACTGAGTTGAAAGACTGAACCAGTGAATTTATGATTAATGACTGAATGAACAATGAATGAATGAAGGCATATAGTTAAAGAATGAATGAATGAATGAACCTGCTAACAAATGAATGAAAGAATGAATAAATGAATGAATAAATGGAGTGAATGAAAGAAATGACTGACGTACTCATAAATCTTTTAACCATTATTGAGCATGTACACATCTATTTCATATACACATCAAAGCCAATGACAAGTGCATGTGAACGAACTTCAAAGCATACCTTGATAAGATTTGAACTCGGCAAAGTCAGTTCAGGACTGAAGAAGCATTCGCCCCTATTATGTCCGTTGATTAATTCAGGGTTAAAAAACTCCTTTAAATACGCCTGCATCACCCTGACATCAAACGCATTGTCGATTCTTCCTCCGTAGACGCACGTTTCGATTATGCCACGGATGAATTCCAATTGTGGTCTGGCTGAAGTTCAACTGTAATAAACTAAAGCTAAAGTCGCCACCAGCACGATTACCTTCTCGTCGATAGAAGCTTTTATCCATAACATCAAGGGCAACTCTGAAGTCGGAATACGTAAATTCGTAAAAGCAGTTCCAGCCCTAGAGAATTCACTGATTGCGTCTGCACCAGCATCGGGTTGAGAGTTACCTGTGGAATGTACGAGCGTCTTTCTTGGCATACCGCATGAAACCAACTTAACGCGAACAAACCTCTCGCCCACTGCACGTTGCCTTTCGATATGTATGCATCTTCGAAAGTGTCGTAAATGCGAAGAACGTTTTTCTTTAAACCGGGGGGAGACTTAAATTAACTGACTCTGAATTTGGGACACGTCTGGCAAAACGCGAAACAACTTACTTCATAAGTGACCTTCAGGCAGTTCTGTAAAAACATAGCCGGATATTCAGCATTCGGCTCGGTGGTGATCCACAGCCGAAAGCTATCGTGGAGCTTCAACGCTTTCAGTTCCTGAAATAACGATCTAATGAATAACCAAAATTTGCGCAAAGACCGTTTGTCACTCTTTCCAACTGCGGGATCCAAGATATTGCGAGATGCAAATTTTTGATGCACAGCCATTTTCCGACTGCAGCGCATTCCCTCAGTAGATCGGTAGCTCGTTCCATTTGACCCTGTCCCATCGCAATCTCAAATGCACACAGGCAGATTAACACGATGCAACAAAGTTGAGCAGATTGTTAAGAAATATGCAAAGTACAGAATGGCCCTAGTCTATCACCAGTGATGTGATATTAAGTCAGGAATTGCATGTACAGCGAGGTCTAACGAGCTGAACTAGAGAAAACGCGGAAGCGTTTAATATGAAATATAATTGATGATTTCGGCATTCGTCGTCCCAGATGTTTTGGGTCATTTGTGATGTGCATAAACGTATATGGACTGATGTTTGGTTTAGGAAGAGTCATTCGTTATCACGCATATCGACTGTGGCATTTCAGTTAGTGATCGGATGTGAATTGTTCGGCCCAAGTGAGGAACTGCTTTCTCGCACTGCAGAAGCTCACATACCATAGAAAGTGGCCAGCACAAAATAACACATAGACACTTAGAAGCGAAAGAATTACGGAAATACGCGTATTCGTGATAATTATTAATATTAACAATACATATGATATTAATCAGTACACATGCTATCACGGAATTTAAAATATGCCATTGTTGGCAGTCACCCAAGAATATCGGGGTCATTCGTAATGTATATACTTGGTAATACTTCAGAGACCCTCCCACATGGCCTATTGAATAAAGGAACCGATATGCAGGATGTCTGATTGAAAGCCTCTGAAACGACTGCCAACAACAATCATAGCATATAGCGAAAACACTTTCAAAGTATAAATGCCAAATCTCATGTTTTAAAAACAACTTTGAAAAATACTACCCATTGAAGAATGTTGTAAGGACGTCCAGAAAGTATGAGCCAGTACCTATTTGACGTACTGTATGGACAAATGTCAAGTCACATCATTTGAATTGCTTCTGGGGGGGGTGGAGTTATAGAAAGGTAATTTAATGACCCTAAAATTTCAAACAATTCGGTTTAATCCCTGGAGTGGTGCGCTCCTTCATATGTTCTGTAATTGTCATGGCCAAAGATTCCACTTTATTGTATTCCATTATAACATTATAATTCCATATATAGCAATTAGGCCGTGTGACACTTATGATCATTTACTTTAATACTTCTTTTTAAGTCTAAATTCAGTTAAACGAATAGGAATCGAAATCAACCGTACCATCACGGTTTAAATAATACACATGGCCAAACTGGAGTAGGCCTTTAGAGCCGTGGTGAATAAAGCTTACAAGTTGTATTAAAGATTTCTTAGATGACAATGCACAAAAGTTCCTCCCAATCATAGTTGAAAGGTTAACTGTCACCTGTTAAGCATGCCGATAGACGTTCAAAAATCAGACAATTGTAGGAACGCCTAGGAATGCGATGAGGCACTCAAAGCCTCTACCTGTAGATAACAGACAAGTTCAGCACTACAATGACTGTGAGTTGTCAGACAAGTGATCCAAACTTTGACTCTGCGTGTTACTGGACAGACGAAGGCAATTTGTTTGCGATTACGGCGAGCCGATCACGTGTATTCTTACGCTGTTTGTTATAACTTTTTCCAAGGA